ACTTTCTGAGACTAGCGAGGAGAACGGCGCCGATGCGGTGCGGGACATGGGCGTGATCTTTTCGCCGAGCATGCAAAATCCTATTGGCATCCGCGGCCTCTCTCGATATCGCGCTGGCGTGGTACGCCGCGCTTGCAAATCTGCAGCGGGAGTTTGCAGACACAGATGGCCATCGGAGACGTTCCTTGTTGAACCGATATACGCCCGCAGAGATGGAGCTCAATTGCATGCGCGCCGCTGGCGCATGCGTGGAGGCGCGCTGCGGCACGGAAAGGGGCAGGGGGATTCGGAGACAGGACAGTTGTCGGGCAGCGCCTCGACGAATTGGTGGCGGCGAGCGCCCCTCATCGGGAGAAGCAGCTCCGCGCCTGGAACGCCCGCGGCATGCTGCGGGCCAAGAAACAGCAGAGACTGGCACAGCTTGAGGCCGCCAGGGTTCGGAGAGAGGCGCGGGGCTTCCCGTCAAACCCAGGTAATCAATCTGATCAACCGCTGGGCATCCTGCCGCAGAGCTGAGCAGAAGCGCGCTGCTCGCAAGGCCGTGTACGACGCGCTCGCAGCGCGGCGGGAGCGGAAGGAACGAGAGAAGAAGCAGAAGCAGGCCGCCAGGGAGCGCTCGCTGGAGCGCAGAAAACTCCGCGAGGCGCGCTGGGCGTGGATGAACCGTCGTGACATCACCCTGGACGAGATCTGCAGCCTTAGCTTTCGAGAAAAAGGAAAGCGCAAGCACTCGCGCTCGGAGGGGGAGGCCGGCGGTCCAGACCCCCCTCCGAGCGCCTGCGCGTATAGCTATCGGGCTGGGGATCCGTGCAATTATCGTTCAGATCTCTGGTGACGAACGTTTCGTCCACAGGCTCGGGGCCTTTCCTGGACGTCCCTCGTGAAACGTACGGATCATTTGGTTTTTGGGTCTGTTTGGGCCGCCCCCCAGCTGAACTCGAAAATCAATCAGAAAAGACTGCTCTCCTGCCTTTCTGGGCCCCACAGCGTCGAAGCGCGGTCGAAGCTCTCAATAAGGACGCGACACTTCCTTCCCCCAGTCATGACACGCAGATCCTGGCCTGGCACCCCTGGGCAGGGCTCATTCCAAGCCGATCTGGGGAGATCCTGCGCGGCCGGTGTGCCGCTCTGAGGCTTAAGTGCGCAGGTTCCCGGTCGGAGGTGCTAACTGGGTCGAGCCAGCCTGGCTCGGCCTGGGGCCTGGGCCGAGCCCAGGGCTTGGGGGTCTGGGCCAGCTTGGGCCGACGAGCGCCAGAACCAGCGAAAGAAAGCGCCAGAAGGGGGCCGGGCCAGCCCGGCCCCAGTCTGGTGCTTATTTTTTCGCAGGGGCGGGGGGAGGGCGGACGCGCAAACAAGCACAATTGGACGGAGGGCGGCTCCCTTTCAGAAACGGGCTCCTGCCTGTGTGGCAGGGCAACGGGGTGCTCGTCTTTCAGAGGGGCCACCACCCGCACTGAAAGGATTCTGGTCGGGACTTGTGGGTTTACCCTCTTCCTCTTCCTCCTCCTTTCAGAGGGGCCACCACCCGCACTGAAAGGATTCTGTTCGGGACTTGTGGGTTTACCCTCTTCCTCTTCCTCCTCCTGCCGAAGCCTCCCAGATGGGGTCCGGCGAGTAGATGGGGTCGGAGGATCGCGCCGCATCGCCGATGCATCGGCGATGTGGCTCAATGCGGAACCCGAGTTTCCCTACGCCGACGTCGCCGATGTATCGCCGATGTCGCCGACCCATCGTCGATGCATCGCCGATGCACTGGCGATCCATCGGCGATGCAGCGCGATCCTCCGACCCCATCTACTCGAACCCATCTAGGAGGCCTCTAGACTTGTGGGTTTACCCTGGTCCTTCTCCTCCTCCTGCTCCCGAGTTTGATCCAGATAGCAATCGCGCGGCCGACTGGTTCGCGAGGCGTGGTGCGTCTTTCGGCCAGTCGGCCAGAGCAGGCGTTCTCTCTTTCGGAGGGCCGCCGTCAGATGGCTCGCTGGGCGCGGCTCTCGGCGAGGCCGCTGGCTCTGATGGAGGCCAGCGAAATGAAGGATTCAGGTCGTCGTCATCGTCGATTTGCGAAGATCTTTTAGCCTTGGAGGACCTCGGAGGCTCTTTCTCACATTCAGCCTCTGGGGGCCTGTTCCGGCCCCCAGAGGCCGACTGATGACGACGACGACGACGACGACGACGACGACGACGACGACGACGACGGCGACGACGGCGACGACGACGACGACGACCACGACGACGACCACGACACGACCACGACCACCACGACCATGACCACGACCACGCCGACGACGACAATGACGACGACGCCGACGGCGGCGGTGGCGACGACGATGACGGCGACGGCGGCGGCGGCGAAGACGACGATCACCACGGCCATGACCACGACCACGACGACCACGACTACGACCACGACCATCAGCACGATGGCGGCGACCGCGACTTCGACCACGACCACGACCACCACCACAACGACGACGACCACGACGACGACGTCGACGAC